GCCATTCATTGAAGGTGCGCCTTATAGTGCGGAAAATACGGTAACTGCAGTACATGTTGACTGTTTATTCTAATGTATATTTTTAAGCTTATTTCTGACGGCAGATTTTCACAAGTCAGTATTATTTAAGTCATTACTCAACCGTTTTGTGCGTGCAAAATGCGTGCAGCTTTCACACTCACATCCAGTGAGACTTTGTTTTCCTCATTCTTCCTGTGGCTGCGAAAGACTTAGGCTTTATCGCCGAGTTCTCCGTTGTTTCCCACAAATAACCTTACAGACCTAATGTAGGACTTGTTAGAGAATTTTCTTGCCTGTTGTCTTTGCTTCAGTGTTTATTGATAAGGTAAAAATGACTCCAAAAATGTCACACATCAAGTTCCACTACCTCTGCCATTGTAACACTGTTTGTTTGTAGGAGGTTTGCTCTACTCCTGCATGGAGGTGGAGCCAGCGTCATGTCAATTGAACAGAGCAGCTGAAATTGTTTTCCCAAGTTGTTTTTGCCAATATATTTATAACTTCTACTTGTTTAAGTCAAGCTAATTTGTCTGTGAATGTAACACACTTGGATCGGGCTACAAATTTTGAAATGGCTAGTTTAAAAACCAATCCATTCCCTCCTGACGTGTTGATCAAATAGACGACTTTGCCTGAATTCACACCACATGATTATATGTCAAACAGTTTCCCCTTAAACCAGAGAAGCCTTAGAAGCATACAAAAGACGAGATGCTAACCAGTTTTATCCGTACAAGGTAGGCTACATGATGGTCTCCGTGGTTATCTCCTCCATAATGCAATATTTGATCGCTTCTTTCTAATCATACTTATTTATAAAGTACCTAAATATTAATCTTCTTACCTTGTATAAAGTGTTCGCTGCAAATCCATGATTACACCGAGGGCTGCTACGTCCGTCACCGCCGTATCTTTCCTCGTTAAAAGTTACACAATAAAATGACAACTTTGGATTGTATCCTTATCCATTTGTTTTTAAAGTGAAATCAATTAAATAAAAGCAACATTAGGGTAGCAGATGTTTGTTTTCCAACAGGCTTTACAGGAGCAAATAGGTTGTTTTTATAACCATCATGGCGTAAAGGGCAGCGTTCTGAAGAGCGTGACGTCACAGGCAAAGGGTCAATACCACTTTTTTCTTTTTTTGTTAAAGATTTTTTTGGCTCTAGTGGCATTTATTTGATAGTTAATTGACAGGAAAGTGGGTAATGAGAGAAGGGGGAAGACATGCAGCAAAGGTCACCAAGGCCGGGAATCGAACTGCGACAGCTGCGTCGAGGACTAAGGCCTCCTCCATATGTGGGTTGTGCTTAACCTCTGCGCCATCACAGCACACCCCGGGTCAATACCACTTTTTGTTAGTTTTTCACATGAAATTTAAATGAAATATATTTATGTTTATTGTTGTAATGTGACAAATGGGATATAAATGTTTTTACAAGCCACTGTACATCCATACATAAACCCAATTGTAAGACTTGAACCCAGGACTTTTTTGCTTCAAAGCACTACTCCACAATGGAGTCATCTTTGTTATTATTCTAAATATGCTTGCTGAAAGAAATTTCTTATAATAGGTCTTCGGTGGTTGACGGGGTATATTTTGATGGAACCGGCTTTGCTGAGATCAACTTTACGGCTAGTTCTCAACGTCAAGTGATCAAAATTATCCAGGACATCACACTCCTGTCACACAAAGGAATATTAGTCTTCCTCAAAAAGGAGGTAAAGACCCATTTCAATTGATTACAAAACTCCCACCTTTGTGTCAATGTTATCTGTTCATTGATGTCTGCTGTTGTTCTTCAGAGGTACTCACTGCTTTCTCTTATGTCCATCAGGCGAAGGTTTTGTGCCTGGCCGTACTTCAGGGACAGCTCCGTCTTTATTATGATTTCAACGGTACTTTGATTGAACAGCCGCCTGTCAGTGACGATTTGACACGGCTGAAGATTACTGATGGAGATTCAAAGACTGTGAGTCGGACATGTTTTTATCTTCTGTTTATCTTAAGTTTTGGCTATGAAGCTGCAGTTGGTAACCTTCTGACTTCCCATCATTCGCCTCCTATTTAGGAACAAAGGCAGCAAATTCTCACGTGCACACTGCAAAAACAAAATCTTATCATGTAATTTTGGTCTAGTTTCTAGTCCAAATATCTTAGTAAACTTAAAATAAGACAAAACTAACTTAAAAATAACTTTTCAGCAAGTAGCTTGTTTAAGTCAATAATTCCTTATTATTGATGAAAAAGTAAGCAGGAGCACGTTGAGCACAACACTGTATAGTTTTTGTTTCTCACTTTGTGTTATGCTTTAGTGCAACTGTGTCATTCCAGTAGCCAGAATGTTGAACATATTCTCACTTTTCTCATTCACTAAGAATATAAATCCTGCGTAGCTAGGTAACGGCGCAGTGCCCATCAAATATGACTCAACAATTGGGAGGTTTTTGAATTGGCTTGTTTTCCAGATGGCAAAAATCATTAACTTATTGTCAAAACACAGGTGGGTGCAGTAGAAACTGGGGATGCACATCGATAGTTTTCTCATTCCAAAAGCAGTAAATCTATAATATACATGAAATAAGAGCTAATGAGCAAAAATGCAAGCCCATCTTCTATTATCTAACACAGTGTTCTTTGTAGGATCGCGAGGGGAGTTGGTGCTTATCTCCATTTTGAAATGAAGAGTTATTATTATAAGTGATTACTGTCCAATCATTAGTTTCCAACCAAATAAAACAACTGATTGGACAGAGGCAGTGATTTTATATATTTTGCCATCAGTTTTAGTTTCAAGTTGCATTTTAATGAGCTGCTAATCCTGCTGCAGCATATTTACTGTATCATAATCTTCTTAGTCATTTAAACTGTAAATTCATTTTCCTCTTTTTATTGTTTTTCAGCTGACCATTACATTGATTAACACAGTCAGAGTAAAAAGGATCCAAGTACAGAAGAGCTTTGATCAAATCTTTACACTAACTTTAACAGAAGACTTACCAAATTTCAGTGATAAATACTATCTGGGAGGAGCACCAGAGGAGGAGATGCCTGAAAGGTGAGTGGAGCCACATGAAAGCATCTTTTTAAGTAAAGGAAATGTTTGCCAGTCTGGATTGAATGGTATCCATGATGGGTTATCATGATGCTGCCACTGCCATGTTTTATTGTGCACATGGTGTGTTCAGTTTCACTTGCATTGTTAGTTTTCTGCCTTTTTACAAATCTGATGTCAACATAGTGCAGTCCTAGTGTCTAGCTTTTTGTCAGTCTCTGTGTTTACAGACATGTAAACTATCAGTAACATATCCAACAATTTCTTAAACTGAACTAATATTCAACCCGAACAAGCTGAATAGATAACATTCACCATGCCATCACACATCAGGCATATAAAAGTGCAACTTTTTCTCCAGCTGAAAAAGTTACGAGTTCTTCACACAAAGAAAACAAAGTGTGTTTGCTTTTCAATAGATAAAGCACCATTACAGTCCTTGTATATTCAGATCAATGGGGATTCTACTGAACAACAATCACAAGAAAAATATTTTGGATGCTCAATTAAACTTTAAGAGCCAGATTGTTGATAAAATCTGCAAAACTGTTAGATGAAATGTAAACTGTTTCAAAATTATTAGAAACTGTCCAACACTTTGCTGTCAGAAATGTTGTTTTTCTCCATGATTCTCTCACGTCTGTATGGAGCTACTAGTACTAGTTTGACTGGCAGATTATTTCACTTATAACAAAATATTTTTCCCATGTTATAAGAGAAATAATCAGCCAATGACATTAGTCATTAAGGTGAGGTAAGGTGATTTTATTTATATAGCACATTTTCAGCAACAAGGCAATTCAAAGTGCTTTACAGGAATTAGAAAGAAATACAACAAAACAACAAACCAAAGGAAAGAGCAAGACTTAAAACAAGGCCAGATTTATTGCAGAAAAGTTAATTGTAAGTTAGTTTTGTCTTTTTTCAAGTGAATGGACAAAAATACTTGGTAAGATCATGATGTCATGATGATGTCATGTTGGTTTTACAAGCTAGAAAGAAATTGTGATTTATTATTTTAACAACTGATTATGGATCAGAACCAACAAAGAGAAAAAAGCTGGAGTGACTGATTCTAGAATTAGAATACCAAATGTAAAAAAATAAAATAGTAATAATAGTAGCATCGCTAAAGATGTGGATTTTAAGCTGTTGTCTTTTTTTGTCTCCCAGTTTAAAGCAGCTGTTTTCAGCGCGCAACTCTGTGAAGGCCTGCATCAAGAGCCTGAGGGACAGCGTCGGTTATGTCAACCTGAAGACCATAAAAGCCTCTGGAGTCAGTTCTGGCTGTAACAGCGACCTGCTGGTAAAAGAACACACTTACTGAAATCTACGGAGCTAAAATGATGACACCACTATCAGTGCACTTGAGAGGCAGGGTTTCATTTGCTACATAACAATGACTAGCAATGGTTTTAGCTGTGATGTTATTAAAATGACACTAACTCTTAAATGTATGCATAATATATAAAAGAAAAGGGATCCAGTGCTTTGCTGCTAGTACTCAACACTATGATAACTAGATGACAAGGTCAGGAAAAAGTTTTCATTAAGAAAAAAGTAGCAAGGGAGAGGGACGGAGGTCATGCTAACTTGACTATGACAAATATAACATGTAGATGTGCTGTGGAATTCTGTGTTTCGGTTCAGTTACAACATAAAAAATGCGACTTAACACCAACTCTGACAGATTATCAGTAGATCAGATGTTTAAATGAGCTAATTAGCAACTTTAAAATAGGTGTAACTGGAATTGCCTGCAGTGAACCGAACAGAAGTGACTGTTAATTCTTTTCCTTTTTGCTTTGCTCGTGTAAACAGCCTGAACTGTTTTGCGCTGAAGCATGGGAGGACCGTCCGTTAAAATGTTGTGTGTTTGTGCAGGTCGCTCGGAAAGCTCATTTCAGCGGGCAGAGCTACATGAAATTAGCCCCAAAAGATGTCAGCAGCCAGAAAGACAAATTCTACGCCAGCTTCAGCTTCAGAACAGAGCAGAAAAATGGACTCATGTTCTTCCACAAAGATCAGGTCAGAAAAGGAAAACTTTGATTCCCATGATCTTTCCTGCTTCCCCTTTCTATCAACTCTTTGAGCTTACTGTTTTCCATCCGTGGCTGCAGGAGGGAATCTGTCAAGTCTCTTTGCAGAAGGGCAACATTGTGTTGAGGGTGAACAACTCAGAGGTCAAGACTCAGAAGACGTACAACGACAACAACAACCACAATGTTGCTTTCTACATTGACCCCAATGGGTAAGACAGCCAGAGATGGTGTTTCATTATGATAATGTCGCAAAAATAAGTCTTCAGACTTGACTGACTTGTGGTCTCAGACTTGATCGTAGTGCCATTTTTTATCTCATGTACTAAAAAGTGAAAGGACGCCGGTATGCGGTTTACAGACTACAGCTGCTGTAATGTTTTCCTGTAAAAGGATGCAGTGGAACATTATGGGCTTTAATATAGACCGGTGTTCTCTTCCTGCCAAGCTAGTTGCAACAATGCAAGACACTTTGGGCTGGATGTTTTCCTCAGTGGACATGGTTTTAAATATTTTCTTTTCACATTTAAATCAGTAATTTATGGACTGTATGAAGTGGTGCTTTTGTCTGAATTCCTTGATGTTTTAGCTCCACAGCCCCTTCTTTTACCCTTCTTGCCGCATTCAGACATTTTTGTAGTTTGACAGCAGCTAATGCTATCATAAGCTAACGCAAGAACATCACTGAAAGCAATTGGATAATGTGTTCCCTAAGACAAAAATGGCAAAAACATTGCTAAACGTTTTGTGTTCAGTTTTTTCCAAAACAAAGTACAGTTATGTCCTTAAGGAGCTAACAGCTAGCACACTGCGGTAACATAACCAGAAGGCACGATGCTACCGCTAGCAAAACAACAGCCATTTATACACACAATAAGATAAACAGCTGATAGCTTAATCATTACAAAGACTAAAAAGCAGAAATTCAACAGTAACTAATTTAAATCTCGTTTTATTTTTTATCTTAAAACACAAATACTTATTTTACAGTTTATAAGTGTTTTAAATAATATGAAGCAGGTTTTTTGGATGGTGAATAAAATAAGTAGAATTGCTTTTGGAACATAATAAATTGAACATTGACAAACATATTTGATGTATTGATGATTCTGATGGCAGTACTTGACATTAATGGTTTCTCGATGGTTTTATTATGTAAAGCACTTTGAACTGCTTGTTTACTGAAATGTGCTACACAAATAAACCTAACTGATTGATTAAAGGGTAATATATTTTTTTTTAATGTTAATGTAATAACTTAAGTCTGAGGACAAACAGTCCTAACCTCAAATCCTGAAGAGTTAGGTGACCTGAAGTCACAAAAATGTTTCAGTTGTTAGGAATTTGACTTGGACTTGCTCCTCAAAGACTTGAGACTTGTGAATATCTAAAGCTGTTTTGTTGCTACAAGTGTTTGCTGACTGTCGGCTTCCACAGGTTTTATCTTTTAATGGACGACATAAAGGAGAGCAATGGCGGTAAACCGAACATAAAGCCGCCTGCTTACACGGGTCCTGAGGATGTCACCTTCCTGGGAGGATTACCTCAGCAAAACGTCGACAACCTCACAGGATGCATCAGCAATGTCATCATAAAGAGGTCTGAAAAGCCCTACGGAGAGAAACCATGTCTTCTTACAGATTATAAAAAATAACCTGACAAAAAAGGTTTTTAAATGATGGTCGTACAACTTTTACACTAACTTTTGATTTTGTGTGAATACTGCAGGCCGTTTTAACATAAAATCAGTTTTAAAATCAGTTTTACCAGTTTAATTACAGATAATTGAGAGATATTGCTGGAAGTGAATAAACAGGAAGTTCTTTGCAGATTTCTGAAGTGGTCTTAAATTGTATGAATTAAATTAATTTATTTAATTTCCATTTGGGATCAATAAAGTATTTTTGAATTTGAAATTAATTTTGACTCCTCAAAATGTAATTGAAGATATTTAATTATTATTCCTACTAGTGGGGTTGAAGATGCTGATTTCTTACCATTATGGATTGTCAAAATGTAGTTTTGTCTAGTTAGATTATTTTTTAGATATCCTCCATAATGTAATTATGGACAGTTGGACAAAAAAAACAACAGCCTGCCATACATCAATATTTGCTGCCTTTGCATATAACTAGGATGACGGGACTGCAGTTTTATAAACAAAAAGTAAAATATGTGCGTGATTTTTGCATCCAGGTCGAAAGGTGATCAAATGGTGGAGAACCTGCTGAAGGTGAACGAAAACGAGAACATTCTTCTGTCCTGTCCAGCAGCAAAAAAACCTCAGCAGATCATTGCAGCGGAGCCGAGACGCAAACAAAAGGTACAGTACAAACACACGATAGCTCTGCTCCTCCAGGCAAAAAGGAACCACCGCTTTTAGAAACTGTAAACACGTTTCTGTCTCAGGGTAATCAAAAGAAGCCGTCGAAATCTCGCAGCCGCAGTACCAGGGAGTCCTGCCAGGGGGAGCTGTCGCACCCCGAAAGCAGAGCGACGCATTTCAGCGGCTCCGCCCACAGCTACCAGAAATACGATCCAGTGGTCAGAACCATGTGAGTGTGAAAGTCCAAAAATGTTCTAGGAAAAATACTTGGAAATAAAAAAAACTCCTGAAATTTTAGACTAATTCTAATTAATTAGAATTTTTTTGAATTAAAGAAAAAATATTTGCACATTTTTTTCTTGCAAATCTGTAACTTTCTTTGGAGAAATCTTTTCTAGAAAATTTACAATAAATCTCAAAATCTGAATTTTAAAAAAAAATATAACTAGTTGCTGCCAAACTCTATCTACAGCGGCCCTGATATTGCATGTAGAGGAGCCCTAAATACTCACTAATTAAACTGATTTTTCCTCAGTTCTCATCTGTCGTTGGAGGTGAAGATCAACTCCTCTGATGGCTGCGTTCTGTACGCAGCCAGCAGGCAGCATGGCGGAGCGGCCATGTTGCTCAGCGTCCTAAAAGGTCACCTGATCCTCTCAGTGGAGTCAGCCAGGAGTAACGTCAAAGTGCGCAGCTTGAAGAAATACGACGACGAGCGGTGGCACCCGGTACATATAAAGACAAATAATTACATTAAACCAGCTAACCTTTCTTAATTTTTACTTGCTTCAAAATACTTCCAGAAAATCGGTACACTTTTTATAAAGCGTGGCGGAGAAAACAGAATGTTGAATGCTTGGGAGACAACTTGGTCACATTATAAGCTGCTTTCTTTCTGAAGATATTGATTTATTAATCCTCCACCACAACAATGATGAGTACCACAGGCTTTAAGGTTTCCAAAAACAATTATTTATGAAAACTGTTCCTGTTCCAGAAAAAATAGTTGTTGTTCCACATTAATGACTTGTTTAAGAGTTTCAGGCAAATAAAACTCGTTTAGAGCAGCAAATGTTTTTGAAAAACACAAATCACAATTTTACATAAATAGGAAATTTGTTGTCATTATTAAAGAATCACAATTTTATTTATATTTTTAGTATGTGATATTAAAAATAGTATTTTAAATATTAATTTTACAGTAGTACTTAAAATATTATTTTAAATAATACTTAAAATACTATTTGAATACAAAATTTAACACAAAATGTAACAATATTTAAATTAGCATTTAAATAGGATTTTAAAATACTATACAAGATAGTATTTTTAAATAGAACAGTATTTTAAAAGTGTTTAAAATATTATTTAAATAATAATTGACTCTCTACATCCTTATTAAAAAAAAGGATGCATCTCTTTTCTGGGGAATAGAAAAAAATAAGTAAAAAAATAAAAATGCACATAGAAAGACAAGAAAAAATTTATCTAAAAACCTTTTACTAGTATTTTTAGTGTCATTATTTATGGAAATTCAATGTAAATATTGTAGAAATAAACTCAAAAACTGGTAAGATATATTAACAAACAAGTTTTTAATTTAAAAACATCAGCTGGTTCTTCATTTTTATCCAAAGTTATTAAGAGCCACCAGCGGCTTGAAACCCCTGATCTAGTCGATCGCAATATGGGGGAAATCATGAAAGTATTGCTTCATAAATGGGCTCACCAGATGTTCCTCTATCACAGGTTTTCATTAAGCATGAAGGGAATAAAGTCAGTCTGACGGTGGATGGCATCAGCGGTCGAGCTAAGAGGATAGCCGGAGGCGGAAAGATCCGGATCAGCGGACCGTTATTCATCGGAGGAGTCCCGGCCTCAGTGAAGGTTAAACTTACTTATTTTAAAACTCACACAGCTAGCTTTCATCATTCATATGCTCAGGATATGTTAAAGTATTAAATGTTATTTTATTACTTTCCATGTCTGGAGGAGTCAAAGTATCGTAAAATGTCTGTTTCAGGAATTGTATTTTTTTCCAAATAAGGACCTAGATGCCTCTTAATTCCTGACTACAACGCAGGGCATTATGGGAAAATACAAGTTAGCAGGAGAAATGGCTCGAGGCCTTTAGTCACGACAAAAGAGAAATCCTACAACCGTTAAAATCTGATACCACAACAATTTTTTTTCTCATATTTTGTGAAGAACAAAGTTGCACTCAGTGTCTTCTCCAGAGGTTTTTTTGTTGTTCCCTTCAGTGGTTCTTGGCCCAGCGCCGCCACAGGCCAGGAGGGAAACAGATTGCTCAAAGGGTTTGGATCATTTGACACGGTACAGTGTGAAAATGTAACCATTGTTTCAACTGAACCAAGTCTACTGGACTATCAGGTGTGAAAACACCCTTAGAAACCGGGTCAGGGTTATGTATTCCAGAGTCAAGCATGAGGCCGTCTGTCCAACCCTAACTGGGTCATCAACAGGACAATGATCCAGAACAATAGCTCTTCTTTAACTCTCCCACAGTTTTAGTGTGACAAATGTCTGGGTCAAACAACAGACCGTCAGTTTCCAAAAGCAAGCGCACACGGGGTCAATGTGACCCAAAAAGACCACGAGGGTTTAAGTCCCACTGAGGATAACTGGCTATGTTCTGGAGACAGAAATAAGGTTAGAAAGGTGCACACCTTTATCAGACGTCATTCTCACTGTTTGTGTCTGAACTCCAGCCGAAACGTTTTGATGGTTTCATCGGATGTGTCAAGGACCTGAAACTGAACGCAGTTCCTGCAGGAAGCCCATCGTTCAGCCAGGGGGCGGTTCCATGCTTCCAGAACCCTCTGCAACCTGGAGCATACTTCTCCAAACAGGGAGGACACCTGAAGATTGGTAGCTACCCTCCCCGTCTTTTCCACGTTTCAGCTGTTTGAAACCTTTTTTGGTCACAGTATCCACTGATTGACGTGTCTCTGCCTCCTGGCAGATGACTCTTTGGTTCTGGGTCGAGACCTAGAGATCCAGCTGGAAGTTCGACCCGCTTCAGACTCTGGGCTGCTGTTATATGCTGGAACTTCATCTGACCAATACCTGAGCTTGTTCCTAAGCCAGGGAGAGGTGAGTAAAGGTTTCCCCAAAAACAAGAGAAACAGCAGGAAGAAGGTGGAGATTTTTCTTGTCGTCGTTCAAGAAATCCTAAAAATAAAACCTGAGGAAGATGTTTTTGTGTCTAGGTGACTGTTTCAGTAATCAGTGGCAAAGGTGAATTCTCTACCTCGCTAATGCCTGAAGAACCTCTGTGTAACAGGCGCTGGCACACAATCAAAGGTGGGTTTACAGCAACCAGTCATCTTCCCCAAACAGAACCGCTCTCCGTTAATGCTGATGTATTCTTCCAGTGGAGAAGAGGAACAACGTTCTGAAGTTGTTTGTGGATGGAAGCGCAGAGAAGAGCACGGGCCCCAAACAGAACCGTTCTGCAGGGACCAAAGCTACCATGTACCTTGGCGGTGCACCAAGTGAGTACAATATCACAGTTCTCCGCACAATTTCAGGGTTTCCTCTTTGTCTTTAAAGAAAGTGTCTGCTAATGCTCACACATATCCCAGCCACAAGTATTTCTGTGGCTGGGATATTGAAGAGGATATTAAAAAAAATCTAAAATCAACTTTTTTGAGCTTCATGCACCTCCCCGCATCTTCATGCTCAGCTCCTTCAGACTACTGGCAGCAACATTAGCAAATACCTGGTGAGACTGCACATCTGCTGAACTACTTCTCAGTTCAACGCTCCTAAGAGAACGGATGTAAACGGCATCACAGAGAAGCGCTGTTGAGAAATCACAAAATTTTGACTTCACAATTTAACGACTTAAAATTGACCTCCATCTCTTTAAGTTATGTTTGATATGTACAGCATTTACAAAAACTGAAGGTAACATAGTTGCTTGTGTAATGTAAAATAGGTGGAGATGCTATGGGTCAATCATATCGCAATTTCAAAGTTTTCTTGATATTGGGGGCACTGGGCCACCCTAGATCTGCTGCTTGTCACTGTACAGAACTAAAAACTGAAGGAGACAGAACCTTTTCTTCTGTGGTTCAATGTCAATGTCTGATGAAAATGTTCTCCACTAATGGTTTGAAATTCCCCACTTTTTCTTTTACACCATAATAGCTTAATGCATGACAAAACAGAGGCCCATTATGTAGAAAATTTGATATCACCCTTAATTATCCAGTCTATTAATATAGGAGGGGATGGATTTTAATTTCTGAGCTTGCCAATATCTGCATCCCCTGTCTATTGTCCTATTGATATGAAACTTGTACTAGTAGCTCATAGAACAAGCGTGATTTGCTCTTTATTTCTCCATGTTAGAAGGGAGATGCATTTTTTGGCAGTCAATTATTAACCCCCCAGTATCTGCATGCCTTATGTATTTCCCCAAAATATTGTCCTATTGATATGAAACTCATACCAGCAGTTAAGAGAACAAATATGATTATGTAGAAATTATGTTCTTTTCCTTCCCTGGGCCATTAACTCTTCTTACAGGGCTTGCTAACTCTTTAGTGCCAAGCTTTTCTTTGCACATAATGTACCTAGAATCTTATGGGGCAAAAGAAGTGTAGCAAATGGCGATATTTGCTACACAGATGCAGAAAAAGCTAGCTAGCTAGCTAGCTAGTTTGCTAGCTGCTAGTTAGCGGTAGCGGCAACCGCCTGGCGTCACAGATTGCGCGTGACTCAAACTTTCAATGGAAAAGTCCCTTGTAAAAAATAAAACATAGAATATATACGTCAAAATAGTACTGCCTTGACAAAATTTAAGAGCCTTAATTAAAGTATTTACGAAGATAATATTGCTTCCGCGATCCCTAGTGACTGGGTCCTCCTGCTTCTGCAAAAAATAATCTTCTAACGGTTATTCGGCAGATTTTCCTCCTCCTTTGAAACGCTGTACAGTTTTATCTAATTTAACATCTGGCTTCTTCTTATCATTAAAGGGGGTACTTTTTTTTATCAAAAGAGCAACTTCAAAAATGAAATAACATACGCCCGTTTTTCTAATCACTCTGTAAACTTTCTTTTGTCCGCCAGGTGGGGTCGCAGCGGCCAGCCATCCTAACGGGTTTCCGGTGTTCCACGGGTGTTTCCGCCATGTTAGCATCAACCGTCGACCCGTGACGCTGTCCGGACCGCTGTCTGTTCACGGAGCCGTCGGAACCCGAGGCTGCCCTCACATGTAGAGCCTTCACATTCCCTGACAGCAAAATACTGGTGGTGGGTGTCATGTTACTGTAGCTAATTTAAAATATATATTAATATTTATTTTATTCTTTGGGGGAGAAAAAAAAGCATATTTTATATTTTCACGTTTTCGTGCCATGTCTGTAATTATTTTCACATAAAGATGCACTGATATAAAATTAAAATGTAAAAAAAAAAATTAATAATACTCCAATTTTGCGATATTTCATGAAAGTGTTGTGTTCCGACTTCCATACACTAATATTTATGACAATGGGGCTTCATGAACTGGCTAAATTCATAGAAATTGATGGATTCATTTTTTTTTTAATTGAGCTAACTTAAATAAGCTGTTAAATTTTTGTAAATGTAAGAAAATTTTCAGTTTTTTCAGTAACATAAAAAAATCGCTGCAAACCAATAATTTTGACCTTAAATCACCCCTTCTCTATAATTATTTACCTTTTCTTAAACCAACTTTCTCATATGATCTGCACCCCTTTTATTTTTGAACCCATGTAACAAACAAGAAAATGAAGCTTTTTTTTGTGTGCTAACATTTTTAAAGTGTCTCAATGAATAAGCTGCAACTCCCAGCCCTCATTTGTTTGAATAAAGTCTTTTTCATATAAAACTAGACGCTTAAGTGTTTTTCAGTTTGTACTTTAATAAAGATCTAGTCCCAAAAAGCCAACGGCAGACAGTACTTCAACCGCAGAAAGCAAAACTTAAGGCTTAGTCGCAGCAAGAGAGACGTCTACATGGTGTAGAAACATTGCCTTTGGTATATAAAAACATTTAAGACAATGCTGAAGTGGGAGGAAAAGTAAACAAAAAGTAGAGAGCGATGGGACTTGGCAGGCTGGTCTCTAATCTAGACTCATGTCTTCGTCATCTTCTTTCTTCTCTTTGGAGTCTCCTTTGCTGCCCTGCATAGCTCTGGCAAACGCTTCCACATCTGAGGAGGAAACAGAAACATGTTTGAGATGCAGAAAGACCAGATTTCTTAAAAATAGATGGACTAATGCGTCAAGGAGCTGCCTGCCCCAAAAGCAGTGGAGACCGTCTGAATTTCAGATCTAACCGCTACATCAATGCGTCATGTGAACTTTAAGATGTAGCAAAAGACCCCAGAAAATGCAAATTAGTCGTATTTCCATGTACTAAGAGCGAATCAACCAGTCTACGTGAAACATAGAAATTTTAATTTTGCAGTTTCTATCAACATTTTCTAATGCAATACTTCAGAAAGCACATAGAAACACAGCTAAGTTGGATTTAAAAACAGAGATTTACCTTAAATATTAGTTCCTGCTCCTTTGGCAGCTAAGGCAGGAATTAGCTCAATTTGGAAATGACTAGTTAAAATCTGTTTGTACGATGGAGTATACCTAGTTCCCGCAAGTCTGAACCGGATGTGATCAGCGCCATCTTGGTAGGCAAGCACAGCACAAAGCATAGATGAACCATGGCTTCCAGACAAACAAAATGGCTGCCGTCAGCATCAACCCATATGAGAAAGATGATGGAAACATGTCAGACGATGTGGACGAGTTGCCTCCGATCTACTGCAGTTCACCAGCCAGTGAACAGGAAGAGTGCGTACACAATGGAGGAGCTTTGCGGCTTGAAATCCACAGATGGATACAATCAATGTTTCAACAAATTTATACAGATCGTACGAACTCTTCGTGGGAATAACAAGGTTCTGGTGTCTGGCAGAGTAACTACATGTTCGCCTTAGCTATCAGATAAAAGCTACATTAGCTAAGCTAATTTTGCTAGTTTGGCAGTTAATGTCACTGATATTTATCTTAGTACTAAACAGGTAGGTAGAGGTCAAAACAGAGTTACAATGTGCTTGCATTGTGTACAAATTAGATATGAATGAGGCAAGAGCTTGTTCTACTGTTGCCATAGCAACTGCCTACCAAGATGGCGGTCAGTAACGAAGATCCCAGAAGTGACACGTCACATAACTACGCATTAAAGCCGTTATAAAGGGAAAAAATGGTAATTTAGTAAATATCTGACAACATTTTAAAATTTATTTTAAATTTACAAAATAAAACTTTCCATGATGTAAGGGGGTGTTTTTGTCCTACCTCCCCTGTTGGCAGCGTCCACAGCTTCAGCCGACAGACCGAACTGATTCATCAGCGGGCCGAGCTGCCCCGAAGCCAAAGCGCTGCTGAACATACTCATGGACTGAAGTCAGACAGAAACCAGAGTCAGAACCGAACCAAACAGATGAAGAACCGTCCATGCCTGGTCTGATTCTACCTGCTGGAACTGCGGCGAGTTCAGGGTGTTCTGGATCTCTTCGGTGCTCTGCAGTAGGCTCTCTCCGCTGGGGAGGAAGGGGAGGAGCCTCTGCTGGACTTCAGGGTTGGTCAGGATGGGAGCCATCATCTCCGGGGTGCAAACGCTCGCCAGGTCCACTGGAGGAGACAAACCACATCGTTAGCTGGAGCGTCCTCCGTCTCCCTGCAGCAGCAGAGCGAACCCGACGGCCTGCTGACCTGCAGATCCCTGCGCCGCTGCAGCGGCTGCAGGAACGTTCATGTTGGCCAGGATGCTCTGCAGGTCGCTGAGCTGGATGGGCTGGTGAGGAGGAGGGCTTCCAACGGAGGCCGGCGTCACAGGGGCCTGAGCTGGAGCTGCAAGTGGGGAAAAAACAGCAAGGAGTTCAGGACAGAGACGGTCAATTTGGTTGATTTAAAACAGGAAATGCAGCAAATGTGGTAGTTTTGTCCCCAACTGAACCGAGTCTACTAGACTTTCACATGTGAAAACAACTTAAATTTAAAATCAATCCACAGATGGCGGCGTCCATTATTAATTTGGTAAACGGGGAGCTGCTATGGGGTCGTAAATCGTTCACACAGAAGTCCGATTAATTGGTAGCATGAACTACTAATTAATCAGAACTGGGCATCGAGATCTGCAGTGAGACAGAATTAAGGTGGTTGTACCTGGAGCAGCAGGGGCAGCAGCAGCAGTAGTGGCAGGAGCGGAGGCGGCAGGAGGCGTAGGCGTGGCCGGTGCCTGGGTGGAGCTCAGTCTCGGGGCTGCAGCTGATGAAGAGGCGGCCGTGGCTGCTTGGCTTCTAGAGCTGAGGTTAGCATGGAGACCGGGAGTTAGCGTCACGCTAGAGGAGGAAGTCTCGACGATGCAGAGGTGAGGTCTTACCTGGATGAGGAGCTGCTGGCGGGCGGGCCGCCGCTGCCTAGCAGGTTCGCCAGTCCAGGTCCGGCTAACGCTCCCAGGCCTCCTTACACAAACCAGAACAAATCTATAAAAGCTGCTCTGATGAAGCATTCAGGCTTTACAACAGGCCTGCACAATATAACCCATCACAATCGTCATGGCAACATCAATTTCAGCAGGCACTCATTTCCCTCGATTCCCCATTTGGTGATGACTAAACTAATAAAACATGGTGGTGAAGGAAAAGAAGTCCAAAAAAACTGACTCCACTGGGATATTCAGCGAGTGACAAAAAAAAGTGGGAAAAAAAAAAAAGTTTTTATTGCAATTTTGTGACGCATCGATTTCCATACGGCTGAAAAACCACTTCACCCAAGGGCAAAAACGTTTCATTTAAAAAAATTGGAGGTTTTTTTTTTTTAAATTAAGCAAATTTATTTTCTTAATTTCAATTTGTGCAATTCTACGGCTAATAGAGACACAGCTAGTGAAAGCTAAAGCGTTACTCAGAGTGCCTCACCCAGTCCACCGAGCCCCGTCGGACCGATCAGCTGCATCAGCTGGTTGTGGCTCATATTTCCCAGCAGGTTCTGCAGGCCGCCCTCTCCGCCCAGCGCCGACAGCTCGTGGCCGCTGCCGCCTCCGCTGCCCGGAGCGCCAGGAATGGGAGGGTTGTTCAGGAACTCGTTCACCTTACGGCAGAACTCCTCATCTTTGTCCGTTTTGGGCTCCTGAGTTGACAGTTTGAGAAGTTAATCATGTCTTATATCCACTTAGATTTCCATTCAGCAGATTAGCAGCGTCTTCCCACCTGCATCCAGAAGAAGAGCCTTTTGGAGCCAGCCTTGAACTTCAGCACATAGACGCGTCCCGTGGTGCACTGGTTCACTCTCTTAAACTCACAGTCATCAGGGAAGATGATCAGATCCTGTGGGACATTTCAGTTCTGATTTAGTTCTACTGGAAAGTAAGCCTCATAATCAATCAAAAATGATAAAGATCAGTTATTCTTTATTATTTACTTTAGTCTGTTGAGTTTTTGCAGAAAATCACCCAGCATTTTTTTTTTTTTTTGCTATTGTGAGTTTATTCTAAACTTTCAGCAAAAAATGGTCAAAAACATTGAGTTTATGTGATGCTAACTCCCACCTGCAGGTGGCAGTATTTCTTCTACTTCACTGCTGCCTCTGCCTTACTTATCAGGTGATATGGTAACAATGAAACCACATTTAAATAAAGAAATTTATCGCAAAAATATTGTATTACAATTTCTTGTAAATATTCTTAATGCACAAAAAGACAGAAATCAGATATAGTTTAATAACTTTATTATTTATATCAGCCACTTCATTTTTTGGGCAGAAATTCAGTTACAAATTTTTTTATATATGCCTGAATTCTCGCTATTGCATAAAGTTTACTGCAAATTTTACGCAAAAATTGTCAAAAAGATTTGGTTTAAGAAATGGTAACTCCAACCTGCAGTATTTCTTCCTTCTACTACACTGCTCCCTCTGCTTTACTTCATATCATGTTATAAATATAAAAAGCAACATTTAAATAAGAAAATCTATCTCAAATATTTCTCAGTTCCTTGCTAATATTCCTAGAGTACCACCACAATCAGGGATTTTGATTGCAAAAAACCCAAAACCAATTATTAAATCCTGGGACAGTTTTAAGCGTTACGTTTGTAAATGAAGAATCAAAGCATGAATGTTTTGCCAACCCACAGCAAAACGCATCAGAACATCTCAAGTAACGAGAAGGTAAGGAAATTATTTTGGTTCAATTTAGTTTAAAATAGAAAATACATTACTATCTACACATAATATGACAGCACTGTTAAGTGAAATAATTTCCAATCACATTATGAAAGTAATAAAGATTTCAGATTTCACTGAATGTGTTTTTAAATTATTTGCTTAATTTAAGGATAAAATCTTCACTTACATCATCAACGTTCCCGGTGGTTCTGTCCTTCCAGCAGAAATGGATCAGGGAGTCATCGGACTGCTGGATGTACACCAAGCCCTTGCGTTTGTCGGGCGTAACCGTGTTCCCCTTCAGGCTCATTTTACCAGCACGAAACTCCACCAGGTACTTGCTAGAGCTTCCCCTTGAGCCGCTGACCAGACTTGGAAACAGAGCACCCGACGACATCTTTACTCCCAAACTGAGGAAAAAAACAACAACGCCACAGCAACAACATGTCAGTTTTCTGAGGTCATGTCTTTTACAGAATCAGTTGCCATCTTGGTCCAAACTGCTGACTGTGTAGTTTTTTTAAATGTTAAAAAAAAGAAAGACAAGAAATGTAAAATTATTTATTCATAATAAGTGGTCAGGTTAAATAACTAAGATTTTATTAGAGATCAAAAATGTTTGATCAAACATCTGTCCATAATTGAGCACCTCTTCCTC